GAAACCGAAGAGGCAAGTAAAGCAAGCGCACTTTTAAAATTCGCCTATACACAATTTCAGAGTGAAATTGTTATGATAAACCAAGCTGATTGTTATCCTGGATATGGCCTAGACTTGATTGACAAAAGCATAATGTTAAAACATAATGTTATGTATGCCTTAACAAGGCACGGCCGAGTCGAGAAAAGTTGTAATATGATAAAACAGCCAGGTTCCATGACTTGTGATGAAACACGATATGGAGGCTCTCACGATACATATATTTTTATTCCACAAGGAAAAATACCAGATGCAGCCCTGACATCAACAAATTTCAAAACTTTTTACCCTGGTATTGATAATGTTTTGGTATTTACATTTAGAAACATTTTGAAATTTAATGTATTGAATCCCTGTAGAGTGATTATCTTTTTCCATCTTCATTGTACGCATTCTATGAGATCTGTAGGAAGACCTCGGATAAATAACGCAACTAACAAAGGTATAGCAAGACCAACCGAACAACTATTCACCTAGAACCAATTGGCGGCAAATTTCCTTGCTGTTGCAGATTGATTCAAATTCATTAATAACCTTCCACATTGAGAAACGTTCTTTTTTTTGGTATATGTACAAGTCTTACCCAGGTTTATTTTTCTAAGGTACAGGTCTTATAGTGTTTGAGGGACAGATTTCAGGAAGGTTAAATCTTCCAGTAGGTTATCAACTTTCAGAAAGACTTTCCTTTTCGGGGGTTTGTGATTATTGTAAGGTTCAAGATATATTTTCGCCAATGTAAACTCAACAATATTTCAATATCTTTATGTTTCTTTTAAAACATTTCACTTGTCAATGTTAAGATACAGCTTACTTCAAAACTATTTCATTGTAGTGCTTTTTATTTAAAAGTTAAATACCACTTTATAAGAATGTATTTGTGTGTCGTTCAATTCTACTTTATACTAGAATTCTTGAAATATAGGGACTTGTAGGTATATAACATATAACAATAACATACTATTGATTGATATAACAACAATTTAATTTTTTAAAGGCAACAGTATATAAATCAGATAATGAACTGAGACTCGTGTTTACCTAGTCCGAAACATCTGCTTCTATTTCATCCTCTGGTGTATTTTTTGCCAAGTTTGGCTTGAGTAGGACCTATTTTTTCTGCATATCAGGATCTCATCATTATGAATCAGAAAGAATTATTGCTCTATATCTTTTATGGAACTTATGTATGAGAACACTTGCCACCAAAATTGTGCAAATCAGGTATTAAATAGCTCCAAAATAGCAAAATTTGCACGAAGCAAACCAAGATTTTAAGTTGTAACATTTTGTATAAGTGACACCAAGCCTATGCATATGCCATAACTAACATAACCCAATTTCACCGAAAATCGAATATTATCAACTGCTATCATGTGTCCTTCGTACTAAGAATAATAATAAAGGGAAATGATAGAGCAAAATCGGTCGATAATTTCGCCCTTTACATTCTATTTCCGTACGTATTACTTGGTTTATTTACCTTCCATGGTGCAAGACCGATTAATGAGATCGTTGCTGATAACATATGAGCGGCAGATTTGTCGTCTCGAGAATAACCCCGGCAAACGTGGCGAAAAAATTAAAAACTTTACATTTCTTTACAGTCGCTATTAACCTGCGATCATATTGCGTTCCCTAGACGCGTTTCATATATATAACAACATATTAGCTTGGTGTACTCCATTTTTATTGCGTTTATTGGGATGTTATAACGCTTGTCTTGACATTCTCGATTTCGTGGCGATCTAAACGGCGACGATGGCACCAACCGAACGGTATCTGTCGTTCCCTTCACGCTTATACCACTGTCATGTCACAGAGTTAGTTTTTCTCACCAAAACAACTACTCTGTTTATCTGATGGAAAAATATTTCTTTCACTTTTATAAAATAAACTTTTTCCCATCGTTTCTTATATACAAATCAACTAAATAGTACTATGAGCAAGCTCATAAATTCTTCTATAATCTTATTAAGTGACATAAAAATCAGATAATTCGAAAGTTTCAGGGAAACTATATCTTCTGAAAAATCTTAACTTGAATATTTCCAATTCTACCAGTTATTTATAAGAACCTTCATACAAATTTTTATTCACTTTCACCTTTTTGTTAGTCTTGAGGACACTATCTCAGTTTTTCTCCTGAAAGGAACGCAAGCCACCATAGTGTGAGTTTTCATTTTATATCATTTATTAAACCTTTTTTTTAAAGAAGACAATGTATTTCATGAATATTTTTATAAGGAATAGTGTATTTTTATTAATGATTTAATATTGACAATACCATTCTCATCTGTATGTGTATTTATATTCCTACATTCTGTATTGTAAATTGTATGAAATCCCCTTTTCTATTTTTTCAGCTTTTTACTCTTTAATCTGACTTTTTATGGGATAACGTTGTCCAAGATTATACTGGAATAAACATTATCGTATTTTTCACAGTGTGTTTTTTTAATACGGACAAACTTCTTCCCTCTGATCCTGGATACGTTACAACCACGCTTGGGGTACGGCTACCTTAACTTGCTCTGAGCTCGTTTTCCATGTCCGTATCAGCTCAGTAAGCACTTATTTAAACAATTAAGGTTTGTTATTAGACAACAACTTTCTTTGACTTCAATATAGTTACGCTTGACTCGCAGCCTACTTGTTGAATTAGACCTATCGCCATTTGATGAACCTCACTCGGGCACTTTTGTAGTATTTTTGTGGATGTTGGTCAAAATTCAGAAATCCAACCAATTCAGCCCACGAATCTACTTCCTACGAACTATAGGTCCTTCAAAAGGGTTTTTAAGATATGGTCAATACCTGTTACAGCACCTATAGCTCATACTTATGGAAGTGAAAAACAGTCATAATTACAGTCAATGCATATTTGCCTAAGTCAAATGTAAAATGTTCAATTGAGGAATGATCGGAAATTTTTTCAGTTAATCGATGTATAAACAGAAAAAAATCAATGTACTCTGTATAAATCTGCGTAGACATAAGTCCAGAATTCGTGATATTGTTGGAATTGGTAGTGTGCACATTCCAGGGAATTTGGAAAATACCTTTATTATTCAGTGAAGTGTCAATTTCGGCTCTGTTGGCGTTCGAAGGAAAGTCATCGACGCCGTGTAGTAGCCACGTCAATCAAACTCAATGATAAAAGTAGTCCGTTAAGGGGCGGAGGTTATATTTAAATTTTGATTATACAGTTTAAAGCGAATGACTTTTGTTATCCAATCAAATTGCGTGATACTGTAAGTGTAAGCGATGCCTAAGTTGCTGGCACTTTAACTACAATCAATGCTAAATTTGAAGGAAGTGTATACAAATTACAAAAAATTTAATATTAAGTAAAAACAAGCAAGTTAAAAATAATTTTATGAAATTAACAACACCATTCTCATACAGGCTACATTAATATAACAAATCTAAGATAAAAATTCAGCATATTATTCAAATTAGGCCCAATATTATCATTAATGTAATATTATGTTATATTATGTAGCTTATGTTTTATATGATTTAAGATTTATATCATATACTCATCTGAATTTTGATGTACATTTACATTTAGCATGAATGTTACCAAATATTGCAATAACAACATGCATGAAAACCATAATTGTGTTTATGTATAAGAAACATATAAGTAGCCTTCCTAAAATATATATATATAGGAATAAGAAAAATAAATATATATCGGTAAATCGGCTATATCGGTAAATACGGTTTTGACAGATTTATTCTCTTCTAAATACTTCTCAATAGATACTTTAATATAATGTCCCTCTCTAGCCAAATTAAAACATCTTTATTCTAAAAAAAATAATACCATTGTTCTTTAGACAATGGTTTTGTATTTGTATTTGTATACTATCCTATAACTATGGTGTTGTCCAAATCAAGGGGTCCAGGAAATAGAGAATTAATAAAAAAAAAAGTATGTATTTAGGAAGGAATGGCTATCAATATTTCAATATTTCCATATATATTTTGAAAGCATTTCATTTTAGTGACAATTGTGTCAAGGTGTGAGGTAAATAAAGAGAACTATCATAGAGGAACCATTACAACCATACAATATCAGCATTCTAAGCCCACGATCTCTTAACTCTAGGGCAACAGTACATCTGAAGTGAATCTACATAAAGGTGAACAAAAAGAAAGAATAAATCAACGACACAATGGTAAAGCAATCTGAAAATGTTATAACAGCAAGATTGTAATTGATTGTTAGGTCTGACTGAATGGCAAGGGTACATGTATTTTCTAAGCTGTTCAGTTGTTTTGTATAAAACTGAACCATGATGTGACCTAACTTTCTTTTGTAAAATTAAAGAAGGTGGATTGTTGGTGAATGATTTGCCTTTGCTATGAAAACTCTACTGTAGTAGATTACGCGAAATAAACACAATCGATTCCTAATTTCGGAATTCGGAATTCGGATGGAAGAAGATTTTTTACCCTAAAAAAATGACCAATGTTGTATGAATGACAATATGTCGCAGTGTCGAATATAATTTAGTATATTATGAATGTATATAATAATAATTTATTTATGTATATATCAGTCATCAATCAATAGAGCACTTCTATAACAGGTGAAAATTATATTAGTTTTTATACCATGATAATTTATTCATATCAATACTTCACGAACTACGAGCGTGTCAAATGATATCTATATAGTATCAAAAGGAATGTCTAGTTGACACATCCAGTCGCATGGCGGCATCAAGCATTCTGAAAGGTTGAACATACTCTGAATCAGTAGTAAGCTACATACTCTTGGTATTTTTTTATCGGTGGTGCCCAAATTCAATGATGTCAAAGTTAAACTACAAATGTGGAGAATTACCACCTTTCAATAATAATATATCACTCTATAATCCTTCAAATAATAGTAAATTAAAAATATAAAATACGATGTGCGCATGTCCTGGCGGATACGATCCTCCATGTTTTTAAAGATAATAATTTGTCCACCCTGGCTGAACTTTGCCCTCCCAATCTAATATAGGCGGATGAGGACAATCTGTAGTTGGTAAATCTTTACTGATCAGTTCACAAATAGATGTCCCATTCACTGAAATAAATAGAAAAATGTTATCTAAAAGGGTTACAGGAGCTATACCTTGCTGTTGAAAAATCTGACGCGATATTCTTTTACTATTTTCCTAAAAAATATCCACATGGAAACATGACTAATTCTTTAATATATTACGAGATTTGAGCACATATGAGAGAAAATACAGAAAATATTTTTAACACATAAAGAAGTATTTAATACCTCAATATATTCCCTTGTTTTCTCTGTCATATGTTCGTATATTGTAAAGTTACAGACGACAACCAAAACAGACATTAAGGTAATTTTGATTATGCTTTAGCCATACCAAGATTTTGTTACACTTTTTTATTGTAGCCATTGCAATATTTCTAAAACAATAAATCATTAAAAGCATTTAAATTCATGCTTACAAGACTTTATTTGAAGCCGGGTGTTCGGGCAAGTAATATATCCGGACGGGCAATATCGTCGGTTGTCGGAATTTTTTCAGGGGATGGGGGCTATGCACTTTTTCGGGGAAGGCATTGATCTACCCACCAGCCTCTGACAAATTGTAGCTGTAACATCCATTCAGACTCAAACACCAAAGGGCACATCTTATAGATGTCTTTACTTGATGTACACTTGCTATATCAGAAATTCGTCTATTCTTTCTTTTCTTAAAGACAGATTCTGTAAAAATAATATAGAGTATGTTGAAAGGATATACCCGTCTACATATTGACTTTGTCAACGTAATAATTGTGATTCTTCGGAATTATATTCAGCTATCCCTACTTTACGAATCCAAATCCAACTTCCGGTTCCACTGCAATAATTCAACAAAAATTACCCAGAAGTCAAGAAGTAGCAGGGTTAACTTGGAATCTTGCATTTTCTGCGCGCCAGATGAGAACGAGAATTAACGCCTGGTCGTCTTAAAGGATTGTGACGTGTCTAATTTACAAGCAGTACATAAGGAGTTGACAAAATGGCATGGCTTCTTTTCTCGTGGGTTGATGGGCACTAATTTGTCATTTTCCAAGGATCATTTGTCTCAAACGAATTCGTGATAACTCGTTTTTACCTAAATCAATAACGTTGATGTGAAAAAATATATTTTTGTACAATAATTTGGTAGTACTGCTATTTTGTTTACATACTTAGAGAAAACTGCGTTGAACTACGTTGGCAATTACACAATGAAAGGAAATATACAATATACAATAATAACATATACAATATACAATTGTAGCACTTACCATTGGCAAGTTCATCGGTTTGACCAACTATCCAATGAGATTCCACGTGTCCTTCATATTTTACAAAACCAATATACTTGATATCCTGAGAGTAGAGACTATAATGTACCAAATCTACACCAGGAGTTTTCCCTGTACCAAATTCTATTTGTGTTCCGGTCCATCTTATCCATAACCATGTGTATTCTGTTGGAGTAACTAAATCACTTGTATGTTCGATGAAATCGTAAAGACATAGTAACATAATCGTTACATCTTTTGGATTATTTCCTAAGCCCAAAATTATTTCACCTACTTTGGATGTATCATTGAACAAATCTAATTGAGGTAGATCTTCAGATTTTAAAGCAAATATCAAATGATTTTGTTCTGCAACATTATGAAAATATGACGCCCTTCTTAACGCTGTAGTTACAAATCTTCCACATTCTGAAATAAAGCGAATAAAACTCCATAATTTAATGAAAATTCGAAAAGCATAGTCTTTTATCTTACCCAAATACTAAAATTATTTGGCTGTGGTTCAATTAAAATAACTGAAAGAAATTGTAAAGATGTTTTCTTGATTTCTTATGTGTATTGGGGACACCATTCCAATTTTTAGTCAGTCAGTCCTGCAATTCCACAAAATAAAGTGTTTGATGACGTGACTAATCACAAAATTTGCTTGTATCACATAAGGATAAGTCACGTCATCAACGATTAGTTTTAGTGGAATTGAAGAAACCACGGACGTTTGATTGAAAATTGATGCTATCAGATTCATATCAACATTTTAAGAAAACCTCTTTACAAAACAAAAATGAAGATGACCACTATGAAGAGTACAAGAAAAGAAATTTTGCAAGGACAGCGGCTTTAGCCTTTAATATAAAAAGTATGTCTGTTCTGAAAATGATCTAACCATCAACATTCCCCAGCTAAATGACTTTCCTACCTGTACGATGAGCCAAATGTACAAAAAATATCCATCTTAACATCCAGAACAGTGAAATAAACCACATGATAGCTGTTCCAGTATCTAGAATGTACCACATACCAATGTCCATTAGTAAACGGCGCTTGTGTTAAAGGGATTGCATCGTCTAGTCTATGTCGAACCAGATGATTGCGAACAATTCGAGCTGTTCTTAGTAAATAACGCGCCGGAAAAGAGGATAATCTTAATTGAATTACTTTTATAGATTTGTTGAAGAATTGGACACATGGTTTTTGATTCTGATAAGACATATGGATAACTGAAATTAGTCACGGAACACTAAAAATTGTACTACCATATCTCTTCAATGACTGTCATCTTTTTTCATACGCTTCACTAGTGAAAGCAAGTCGTAAGGTTACATTAGACATCGATAGAAAGCGGAAAAATATAAATATTTATAACAATGAAATTTACCAATCTATATCATGAGATACATGAATTATGCACACATGTTATTATGAAGTTGTCCAGCTATGGGTTATACTTTCTACTACACTTCATTCTGTCATTATATTATATTGTTTTGTATTTTCACACTGACTCTTTTAATGTTGTTCATTTATTATGACGACTCTTCTTACCTCTGAGAATCTTTATATAACTTAACACAACTGGCTAGAGTCTAACGTATACGTTATGTATGACAGTCATTTCGTTTCTTTTGCTTCAATTGCGGCTATTGAGTTTTCAAATTAATTTTTTTCCTGTATAAAATAAGCGGGAAAATGCAATCTACAAATCAACAGAAATGACATCAGAAAGCTTACCGACTGTCACAAATTACACACTGTGTATTGCAAAAACAAAGAAGGGTACAGATAATATTTTCCTCATCACGCAAGAACAACTTCGTCACACAGTGTACAATAAGGGGAAATCTTCAGATTACGCCTTAAAATGACACAATAGTAATGATAACATAATAAACGGCGCTGTACTATGTCCACATGAGGATCTACAACGATCTCAGCGTTAAGGAAATTATTTTGTTTTAAGTCATAGAACATTTTGGAAATGGTGCAAACTGAAAAGTAGGCTAATATGGATAAATGAATGTGAGGTCTATCAGCTCGTTTGAATTGTTTCTTATCAAAAAAATATATCCAAACCAAGTATGACTTTGATCAGCGAGCGAGACGCCTCCACCTTAGAAATATGACATGCAAAATGCGCCTAGTTGTCCGGCTGATATAATATACTATTCTGGTTGTTGAAATGCATTCTTCGAATATCTTGTTATTATCTAAATAGAAGGTGCCACTATTAAGGTTTTTTTATGACCAAGTTTGCTTGCTGATTTTGATTTTGAGAATATAATTAACAATAGCAGGTATAATAAATTCCGGTTTTATAAACGTTCACTTGGATGCAGATAATTTCTTGTAACTCCTTCAAATTTTAATGGCCTTCACGCAACAAGAATATATGTATACTGCATGGTACCCCGAAGGTGCAGGTGTTTGAAACATATCTATTTACCTCTAATCCACTAAACATGATATATTTGGAAAGATGGATATTATTGCAGTTCAGTCATACCATTTATATCACGTCTTGTGGTTCCATCAAAGTTATTTTTAACGAAACTAATCTCTCGACGGGCATCAAAGACTGCGCGCGCTCCAAGTACCGTATCAAAGTTCAAATGGTCACGTGATACTAATAAAAGGAAAGTAGCGGTGATGCCCTAGCATCAGTGATGCAGAAAATCCCGCACTGACTCTACTCCATTCGGCAACTTCCATTAGCTGGAATAGAGGCTGGAATGGAGGCAGATATTTCGGACTAGAATATGATAAGAATTAAATAGCATGGAAAATTTCAATTCTTAAATAGTCTTTTCAATTGGAAAATTATCTGCACCTATACCCACTTCACAACCCTAAAATTACTGAAATGCAATTAATAAATGATCAAAATTGTATTTTTTATCAACTATATGAAGTGTAAATGTGGTTGTTGTCTGTGAAATAATAACTTTTGTTTTGAGTAGTGTCCCTTGCTTGGACATCAACATGGACCTTCGTTTAGTTGTGTGGTCTTGAAGGACGCCATTCGGCAATTTTAGGCATGAAGGAGGGCATGTGTAATCTGTATAAACTAATTCTAACTTTACGAGATTTCAGCATTCTAACATATATTTGGTAAAAACGTTAAAAACACATATTTTTGGGTTTTATGGTGCAAACCAATTTTTTTAGGAGGCAGACGCATTCATGAGCCGAAAATTATATATTAGGGAAGAGAAGGGATATGCTATCTATCATATTTTCAAAATGTAAGCATTGGCCGAAATGTTTTCTGTTATTGCAATAAAAAAAATGTTGCGTATTTAAGATACAATATTACTGATGTTGTTAACCTTTAAGTAACTTCATCCCTTTGTTATATGCTAAAACAAAATCGCGGGGATATTGAATTTAGGACGTTCTTTTAAGGTCTCGGGGTTATAATGTACACAAACTTGAGCTCCAAGTATAAAGTCTACCTCAATGGTCATCGACTGAATTGACCACGTGTGTAAGTAGGAGTTGCACCCCTTTGCAATTGAATTTTTAACACTGCTGAATGCAAAATAATTGAGTATAGTGTGCCCTAGCCAGTTGTCTACATCATCTATTCTCCCTGATACACACTGCTCCTTAGAGTAAGATTTCAATGGATGTTGGATAGAATTTGCAGGTATTAAGTCAAACTTTGTCAAAGTTTTGCTTTCTTACAAATACTAAGTTTAGTTCACTGATTGATGAACTTACCGAGTCTTGAAGGCACGAGTTTCTGAATAGTGATAACGGACAGACTGGTGGGCCGGACATGTTCATGTCACATTGCATGGCTTCGACCGCATCAATATTGCACGTAAAACTTATTGAATACTTTTTAAGTCGAAATAAAAGACTTGTGGAAATCAAAATTAGAATTTGTGGAAATCAAAATTAGAATTTGTGGAAATTAAAATTAGGACTTGTGAAACTCGAAATTACTACTTGAGTATGGAGGTCAATTTGCGCCATTCATCCATGCTCCACAGATTTGTTTAATACATTTCTTGAGACTAGTGGCACAATCTATATTTGAGTTGTGCTAAATATATTTTCAAATTTCAATACTATAATCTTTTTTCACAACTCAACAATGTGAAGTTGTGCAGGTATCTGAATCATACACCAAGAAGCTCAAAACGGCGACAGTCTAGTAGATACCGATTTGAAAATAAAATTTTAATGTAAAGATGAGTGGAAATCAAACATTTATTTCGTGTATAACAGCACATTGAATTCACTTTACGTGTAAACACAAATCTAAATATATTCGAAGTACAATGCAATGGACGGAATAATCATCGAATAATACAAAGTAACAAATAATAACAAATATAAGGCAAAGTGCAAATAACAAATAATGTCCTACTGTATTTGGTATCAAATTAAAAAGTGGCTCTTTTTGTTTATTTTTCGTGTTGCCATTGAGAATGTCAACATGGCGCAGAATAAGCAATCATTAAAGAGATACTACATGCACATAAAATTTAACTTCTCAAACCTGATTATACATATAGGCCTATACTCCTTTTTGTCAAATCTAAATTTTATGCTTATTCTAAGAGGAAGTATTCCTTTAAGGTAGTCTGTGCCAAACAAATCCTTGCTTCCAATCGAGTTGTAGTTGTGTAATCCGTATTGTTACATTTATCAAAGTTTCCTTAGGGGTTATTTTACATATTAAAAAACCGCAGTTATTAATGAACCAATAAAGTAAAGAACAGATATTTTTTGCTCATCTGGGTCCGATTCAAAACATAAACACGACCAGTCCACTGTATTTGTAGGTAGAATAAATAGTAATAGACACTTTACAGACTAAACTTACATTGTATTGATTACTACTTCAACTACCTAAAAATAAAATCCACTGGTTTATATATTGAATTAGACTCGGAGAGCAAACATATCTTTGCTTGAAAACAATTAGTGTTTATCTGACATTTCTCCGTCATAAACAAATCCAGAGTTATGTTTATAATTTGGTGCATATCCTTGTTGATCTTTGCGTTCATATTGATCAACGTCTTCAATTCCAACAATAGGTTTAGATTGTTCTTTTTTACTTCTAAAATAGACGAAAAAAATAATTAGTTATGTTTTTGGTGCTTCATTTAGGGATATTTGTGCGAATCTTATGTACATAAGGGCCTTTGGTCGACCCCGCAATTGCCAGATACCGAAAACTAATCATCATAGACTGGTAACAACTTGCAACATCAGGAAGAATCTGATCCATTATGAAATTTGATTAGTGAATCATTATCAATGGGTATAAACTTAGTAAAAATATCTCTTAATATGTTCAGATGTTGAAATCTTACATATCACTATCCTTTGATATAATTTTACATTAACGGATGCCGGCGTTGACATTGAAAGATCATCTAGTCGTTCGGAGGGACAATAAACCGAGGTCCTGTGTCTACAGGCTGTGCATGTAAAAGATCCCTCGAAAATAAGTAGGCTCATGCCGCTGCCCTGGCAAAATTTCCCTCATTGCACCCTGCATGGTGCTACTCGTCTCCATTATCCAGATCAAGCGCAGACAAGTAGTGCGTAAACATCATTGCCATTTCATTTCATTTACAGTTCTAAATTGATAATCAATGCATTCCGTGTTAAAATGTAGCCGATGATGTCAAAGTAAACTAAAACATCAGTATGGAATTTTTATCAAAGAAATCGATCACAGTTTTAATAACTGAGAGCCGATGTATTTTTGTGTGGTGGATATCATCTTGGTATGGATAGCATTTATAAAGTATCAAAGTAATCAATTATTATCATATAGATTCAATTGTTGCCTAGAATGGATGGTAGCATGAATAACCATTCTAATATCAACAATTTATTGGTTCTAAACAATTCTGACTACAGAAAACTGCCATTGTGCGTATATTCACATAACTGGTAATTTATAACTTATTATGAGTTTTGTCATATAGTTACCTCAATAAAATTGTATGGTCTAAGATTATATTCTTCCAATATCTATTTCCAGAAAAGGATACCCCATGGACTTACTCGATAAGCAAGTATAAGGATGACCGAAGTGAAACAAATAAAAATATGCTTCTACGAAATTGCAAAGATGCCGTCACTAATCACCAAATATGATTTATCACACAAGGCCCTTCGCGATAATTGACGTCATCAACGATTAGTTTTGAAAATCAGAATGGTGTAAATTTATGGTGTAAAATGAGATGCTTACTTTGAAGTAAATTTATAGAAGATCCATCTATCTGATTTACAACAATTGATGTCTTTCTTTACACAGACACCAATTATAATCATCAACAATACAACAGCAGCTATTGTTCCCCATAACATCAACTGTTCACCTCTGTAGATATAAAATATTTATATCTGTACAACAACAACGATAACAGAACAACTACAAACAGCTATATTAACTGTTCAGTTATGATGATTGGTATTAATATGACAAAGGTTATAATACTAAAACAACAGCAAACAACAACATCAACTGTTCACTTCTGAAGTAATTAAATATTTGTATCAGTACAACAACAACGATAAAACAGAACAACTACAAACAACTATATTAACTGTTCAATTATGATGATGGGTATTAATACGATAAAGGTTATAATACTAAAACAACACCAAATAACAACATCAACTGTTCACTTTAGAAATAAAATATTTGCATCAGTACAACAACATCAGTGGTTATAATACATCAACAGCAACATACTACACCTCATGTTCACTTCTGTAGAAATAAAATATTTGTATCAGTACAACAACAACAAAACAACAGCAAACAACATCAACTGATCCGTTATGTACAAATAAAGATTGGTATCAATTTTACAACCCCCTCCCTTGAAAAATTTGGTTGACCTGAATGTCTTGTCGAGTCACATAGATTAGCCTTCTTTGGAAAATTTTGACCCCCCACCCACCTTTCCGGTGAGATAGCTTTAGCTAGCTAATCTGTTCATAAACAATATCAAATAAAAAACAACAGCGACCAATAACATTTACTTTTAAATTATATTTAAATCAAAGAGAATTAAGGCTTGGCTCACCCTTTCAAATTTTTAAGAGAAATCGACATAAGGAAAAATTGTCTGTGAGGCCCTCTTAACAATACTGTGGTCCATGTTGACAACACCCCCCCCCCCCCCCCCCTTAATGATTGTTAGAAACGCCACTGCATTTATTGATTTTTGACAACCATTACGCGAAAACTATGGTATTAAAGCAGATTGTATTTTTAATTTTTTTTTTAATATCCGATCTATAATTCCTTTACATCATTTATAATTAAAACGTTATAGACTCAACAAACAATACACATTTACCTTATATTTACATTCAAATAAAACCATCATTACTTTGTTTCCTACAAACTGAAATCCAATCATCTTATCGACTAAGTCTGTTATTTTGTATGGTTTTCACTGTTTTTCTACCATTAATTATATTTTCATGCTGTTGAATCAATTTTCGCCTTTAGAAATTTTCAATCGATTCAAAACATTCCAGTCTTTGTGAAAGAAATTAATAGAACAAGCGTTTAAAACTCTGTTAACCACAGACCTAAACACTGTAAATACCTTTGAAGTGTCGAAACAATACAAACTAGTCTAGGGGTTAAAAGGGAAAATATTTGCAATGTTGTCAATAGAAACGATTTAAGACGTCCTGTTATTTTATCCAAATTATGTACTCTCGATTCGCGCTGCGATAACTTATGTAACGTGAGCGACCTTAGACCATTTTCGGAAATATAAATTTGCAACATAATTGTGCAATCAACGGTTTTCATGGTCCATCATTTGAACCTTCTAACAACTCGGGGATATTTACTGTTCCTATATGTAAAAATCTCTAAGCTGGAACCGGTGAACCTATCCCTCGGGAAAGCGATAAAAAAAATAAAATATTTATTTATGTATTTACGCCCCACCAATTTTTACACATTGTTACATTATATATATGAAAAAAAAACAAATTGCACAAATTGCCATGAGAGATGGTTGAAATATCACAATATCACAATAATAAAATTCAATATACAGTGGAAAAAAAATAACATATAAACGGAAAACATAAAATATTTAACTAGAAATATACAGACATTAAAATGTGCAAGAATAGAGTTTATGAATTATTCGGATTACTTACAAATTTTTCTCTGAATTTTTCTGGCAGCAGGTAAATTCCTGGTCTTTCTCACAGCATTCTGTATATTCATTTTCAGGATTGGGACAATAATAAACATTACCATCTCTGTCACCAAATATTTCATTTCTAAAACATTTATTTTCTTCACTATAAACATCTGAAAATATCAACGTTACATAAACATAATACATCTGAAATTATGTACGTTACATAAACATAAAACATCTAAAATCATGTATGTTACATAAACATAAAACATCTGAAATTATGTACGTTACGTAAAATTATGTACGTCACATAAACATGAAACATCTGGAATTATTCACGTTACATAAACAGAATACATCAGAAATTGTGTACGTTACATAAACACTAAACATCTGAAATTATATACGTTACATAAACATAAAAGATCTGAAATTATGTACGTTACATAAAAGATCTGAAATTATGTCCCTAACATAAACATAAAACATCTGAAATTATGAAGTTGAATAAACATTAAATAAACGTAAACCAATTGAAAATATAAACGTTTACATACAATAAATCTTCTGAAAATATAAACGTTACATAAATGCATAAATACATCTGATATTTTATACGTTTGATAAGCGTTAAACATCAGAAATTATGACCATTATATAAGTATAAAACATCTGAAATTATAAACGTTATATGAAAATGTAACATCTGAACTTATAACGTTACAAAAACATGAAATTATGAACGTTACGTAAACATTAAACATATAAAATCACATAAGAATAAACCATTTAATATTTTATACTTTACATAAACATAAAATATCTGAAATTATAAACGTTACGTTAACATAAAACATCTTAAATTATAAACCTTATACAAATATAAAACGTAACGTTTTCGATAACAATTTTCATAGTTGGTACAAGCTTATTATTTAATTCAATAACTCGGAATAATTGGATTTTACGTTGTAATAGACGACTATTGTAATTCATTTCCTTATGTATCGTACTTGGCAGGCAATGGGAATTAAATGAAATTGCGTTCAACCTTCCTTTGGTGATTTTACTTAATATTTCCATACGATTCGATCCTTACCTAACACTTGTAACGAAAAACAGCATATAAACAGCAAAAAGTACGTCATATTGAAATTTGAAACACAATATAACATTTGGAATATCAATTACCCTATGCAAAAAAATTAAGGTGGGCGTGGCACATCCGGGTAATATTACTCATTATTGATATTTTTGGCCAGGAGCATAACTCGCAAAGTATACATTTGTTCAAAATGGAACTTTGCATACAATTATCTCATGAATTGAGCCACTTTGTCTTAGAAGTTCGGTTGTTTCCGTTTCTTAATTCAAAAAAAGGAACAGGTTTTGGAAATTCAAAATTTTCAATTTTTGACCTTGACCTTTGATGACCTTGACCTTTATTGGGTCAAAGGTCATTGACGTTGTCTATTAGTTTATGCTTTCATATTTGACCTCTGACGTCTACTTTCGCTTTTATAGCTGTCCAAAAACATCCAAATTCGCAACTTTGGACTGCTCTAGCACGTGACCTAATTAACCTAGAGAGTAAATTTTTTCGGTTTCCTAATGTGCTTCTCGTGTACTTTAAATAGATATATAACAAAGCAAAATTTTTAAAGCAAAATTGAAATTCGTGATTTTTTCAAATTTGAGTTTTTTTTTTTACAATATTTGCGACTTTTTGAGCTTAGTGTATGTATATGTTATGATCTATTTGATGTAGAACCTTGATATTTGGAATACAACTAGACACTTTGAATATGAATTCACCTATGACAAAAAAACTTATAAGGGCGTGGCACATCTGGCTTGAATTACTAATTGTTTACATTTTGGGGCTGGGGCATAACTCGCATAGGATGCGTTTGTTCAAAAAGAGACTTTGCACACAATTACCTCATCCTTTTGGCCAGTATGTATTAACAGCTCAGTTGTTTCAGCTTTATAGTTTCAAAAAAGGAACGGGGTTTAACATTTGGATATTTTCATTTTTCGATTTTGACCTTTATGACTTTTGTTGACCTATATCTTTTGACCTCTATTATGTAGGAACTTGACATTTGGAACATAACGTAACATTTTGAATATTGATTAACTTTTAACTGTTTTAGAAATTTGGTTGTTTCCGCTTCATAGTTCAAAAAAAGGAACAGGTTTTGGAAATTCAAAATTTTTGACCTTGACCTTTGTTGATCTTGACCTTTGTAGGATCAAACGTCATTGGCATTGGCTATCTATTTATACTTTTATATTTGCTGTCCTAAGTCAACTTCTGGTTTTATAGTCGTTAGCAATTTGAAATTTTAATGGCGTATATCTCTTAATCTTGACCTTTTAGGCCTTCCCCTTTACAAGATCAAAGGTCATTGACCTTGGCTATCTGCTGATACTTTCATTTGTGAGGTCTGACGTCCACTTCCGGTATTAAAATCTTCTAAAAAATGAAAATTTCTCAACTTTAGACTGTTCTTGCGCTTGATCTAATTATCGTGGAATTTTGATTTTTTCAGGGTCTTTTGCATTTTGCTACATTTGCAAAGTCCCACTCTGTGCCACGTGTGGTTCTAGTATCTACTTTTTTTTGATTGAAATTGGATTTGCGGATTTGAGAAGTTGAAATTATGTATAATCAGAGGACTGTATCCCTAACTAACCTGACGTCGGTTGAGCCAAAGTGAAGCTATCTTGGTGGAA